ATGTCCACATTAAAAGTATAAATAAATACTCAAATTTGAAAAAAAATTGCATTATACGTTCACAAAACACAATTGGCGAACATTTTAAAATACTACTTTGTTTCAAATAACTTCTGCATATGCTAACAAATTTGTTAGAAGTGGCATATTTATTTTTATGACAACAATTCATCTTCATTGATGCTGTCTATCGTTAACTAGAAATCTTAAAAACAGAGAAATTTGTTCCGTTCGTTGTTTATTTTAAATAAATGCATATTTTATATTAGGTGAAATACTTATCAAGGAAATTAATAATTCGCAAAACTAATTACATGTCATTTTCTAAAATTGATTCAAACCTTTCGGTTAAGCATAAATAGCTATTTTTTATTTGTTCTTTAGCTTTTACTGACTTACTCTTTTACTAATTAGAAAATGCAAATGGAAATTAGAACTTGCATTAATATAATATCGTAATAATTTATGTTAAATCTTAATGATATGTTAAAATTATTTTGTGTAAATTGATATTAATTTAAGTATGTTGCAAAACTTTTATTTTAAAATAAACTAAATAATTCAATAACAGTGTAATTTCTATTACAAGAAAATAACGCTCACATTAAAAGTATAAATAAATACTCAAATTTGAAGGGGAAGAAATTGCGTTATACTTTAACAAAACACAATTGACGAAGATTTTAAAACACTACTTTGTTTCAAATAGTTTCTGCATATTCTAACAAATTTGAAGCAATATTTATTTTTATGACAACAATACGTCTTCATTGATGCTTTCTATTGTTAACTAGAAATTTTAAACACAGAAAAATTTGTTCCGTTCGTTGTTTACTTAAAAAAATACATCTTTTATAAGAGGCGAAGCACTTGTCAATGAAAACAATAATTCGCTAAACTAATTACATGGCAGATTCTTAAATTGATTCAAACCTTTCGCTGGAGCGTAGATGGTTTATTTTTATTTACTCTTTAGAAACGAGCTTTTCTTAATTTGAAAGAGTACATTTATTGATCAACTTTATTTTCTTTAAAAGACGTCTCTTTTCGCTCTTCTTTTTTTCCCTCGCATCATTTTCATAGCTTTAATAAATTTTCATTCTTTAGACGTGAGTAAAAAAATTGAGTTCTTTTAAAAAGATGTTGATTACATTTCACTGCCAGTAAAGACCATATCATTTTAATTATCTCATATAATTGGATCACCAAAGCAGACTTAACTGAAACTGGCGTTCAATTAGTGTCATTGGTGCTGGTATGATTTTTATTTATTACATGGTATTATTTATTCATTCCATAGAGCAAGAGATTTAGAATTATTCATCAAGACTGCACTTTATTTATTTTCCGGGAAGAAATTGTTGAATAATTTATAGATCAAATGTTTACTTCTTTTTAAATGTCATTACTTATTAGTAGGTAAGTTAAAAGTCACTAATGTTCATATAAATAATTAAATTTTACTTCTAAAGATGCTGAAATAATGAACTTTAGTCTTATAAACTCATTTGCATTTAAAATTTTGTACTTTTATTGTTCTTCATTTATTATAGTTATTTCAGTGACAAACGTAACAAGATTTTATCCCTATTAACGTTAACTTCCAAGTTTGCATATCAATTGGAATATTAAAATTTTGTAGGAAAGAAAGTTTTATTCGGTATCGTACAAGAAGAAAATAAGATAATATAGTTCGAATGCCTTTTAAGAAATATATTTCATTTTATTAAAAGAATAGATACCTAAGAGTAAATGGAGACTTTTATTGTAGTTTTAAAATCACTCTATTCAGAAAAGAGGTTTTATGATATATAGAGGGGAAAATATACGAGTGCAATCTTTCGAGTTTTATCTTAAATAGTGTTGTATAGAAAAGGGGATAAAATTTAGGTAATTGATCCGAAATTTGAAAACAAATCATATTTTTTAAACCTATCTTCATAGAGAAAAATGTTTTATGATACATAGGGGAATAAAAAAAGAAAATAAAAGGTTATGTTTCGGTATTTGAACCAAAAATTCGTCAAAAGAATTTCTGAATGTTAAAATCTATCTTTACGGAAAAGGTGCTATTAGTGCATAGTCTAACACAAGACTGCCCAAGGAAGTCATTTTGACTGCTTTTTAATTTCAATTAGAAAAAAAATGATGTACGTAATGAAACAATATCTTAGAATTATGTGACTTTTTGTGCAGCGTATACTTTTTTTATTGTTAATATTTACTAATAACTTGCTATATAACTGCAAATAATATAAAAAATATCACAAATTAATTTTAAACAAATTTCTTTACACATTAGTTGTTCTTTTACAATCCAGTCAATTTGACTGCTTTTGAGCAATATAAGGTATATACTAAGTGCAGTGTTCTGATATCTTCGCCAGAGGGCGCTTCGCTCTCTCACCTCCGAAAAGTAATTAAATAAAAATGAGGAGAGGCGTTCTCGGAACTGGCTTGTGAAGTCAGTACAAATTATATCCCTAACTTACATTTATTTCACGTTATTTATATAATATGTGCTAAAATAAAAAGCGTTGTCTACACAAGTGAGATTCATTCATAACAACACAAACCACATTATTCATAACGGAATATAACACTAAGTTTCAGTCTTTCTACTGTTGAGGAAAAATAAAAGGAAAACTTCAATTTTCAGTTGCTCTCGGAAATATAATGATTATAATGTTTCGAAAACATAACCAAAAACTCGATAGAATAATTTCAGAAAATTAAAACCTATCTGTGCCAAAAGGGTACGATTATTGCATAGCTTAAAGTAAAAATAAAATTAAAAATTCATTCGGTTGAGCACGGAAGCATAATAATTGTAATTCTTTGGAAATTAAACCAAAACCTTGATAGAATAGTTTCAGAATATTAAGACCTATCTGTACTAAAAGAGTACTCTTATTGTAAGGGTTAAAGAAAAAATAAAATGAAAAATTCGTTTTTCGGTTGAGCATGAAAACATAATGATTGTAATGTTTTGAAAATTAAACCACAAATTCGATTTAAAAAAAAATTCAGAATTTTAAAACCTAATTTGTGGAAAGGGTGTTACATGAGGTTAAATAGGTAAAGGAAAATGAAACATTTTTATTTTAGGTTCTTAGGTTATTTAGGTTCACTAAAAGGGTTTTATACAAAAGCAAAAGAAGAAAAAAAATGAAAAAATTCATTTTAATTTTGAGCAGTGATACAAAATAATTGTAATGTTCTTGGTATTTAAATTAAAAATTCATCAGAAAATGACCCATTTTTGAAACATGATTTTAAGGAAAGGAAGTGGAAGAGAGTGCTATGATACATAGGTACGAGAAAAAATTGAACGGATGTACTTTATGTAGAAAACTGAAACAGAACAGCTGTAATGTTTCGATATTTTGTCCGAAAAAAATTGCATAGTCATCTTCAAATCTATCTTTGCAGAAATTGTGTTCTATGGTGCATGCATGATAGAAAAAACACAATAAAGAATTCATTTTTAACTGAGCACTAAAGGAAGGGGAAATGTGTGTTTTGTTTCGATACTTAAACCAATAATTTGGAGGAAAAATTTCCTAATTTTCAAATCTATCTATACGGAAAGGATTTCCGGTGATACATACTGTCGTATTAAAAGTTTCCATTTGTGGGAAAAATTGGCATTGTCTCAAAAGCTAAAAAACAGAACTTTAGTGAAAATTGGGCTGTACCATAATGAAATAGAAAGCGTATCTAGTAAAAATAAATGAACGGTTATCTAAATAAATATTTATATGGCGATCATCAGCCGTCATATCACTACAGCTTGGCCTCCCAGATCTTCAGACAATATTTTGTTGTTAGAATACTAACTCTTCCATGATCTACCGAACTTGATCTACCGTAATCCCCTCACATCTGCCTCCAAATTTTTTTAAAAAAGCAATTGCAAAACTTTTTTCAGCATTCACTACTTTGAAGGATTGACGAGCGAATATTGCATGTACTCGGTGAGTCTTAGTGGAGTCTTGGATCGAAACCCCATCCCCTTCAAACCGGGATTCCATTCTATACCCATGGAGCTCCCAAGGCGATTTTATAGATAGTAACGGACAACGGTTGACATAATAAGCATGCTTATGTAAACACTCCAGTAACAGAAACAACTGCATTAATGTACAAAACCATAGACTAATTTGAAATTTTTTTAGCAAAACATCCGGTGAAATATTTATATTTAAATGTTAAACTTAGCGGATTCTCAAGCTTTAAAATTCAGTATCTAATAGTACAATTCATAATATATCACTCACACAATACTATAAGAACGTAATAAAATTATTTGAACCATAATTAGATTACATGAAAATGTAATTAATGTATGAAAATGAAGATACTGTTTAATTTGTACTGCAAATGAATAAAACTAAACAAAGTGAATAAAGCATGATTAATGACACGAAAGCTGAGTTTTGGTTCTGTAGTAAGAACCTTCATCTGTTAGGAATAAAGAATTATTTCTATGCTTCGGCACTGAGTAATATTCTTGCTTATAGAACCGGAAGTATAATTGTGTGTTTGGTGCTATTATTCATGCTTTATTTACGCTGCTAAGCTTTATTTTTATTTTATGAAGATAACAGACAAGCTGTTGACACCGAAAAGATCAATTTTCAAAATTCAAATTTACCTTCATTTTTTTAGCAATTTCTTTTTTAATATTTGGTTTATTTTTGTCGGTCAAACCGAAATATACCTGCTGCAAAAGCCGCAATGTTGCGCTAGTTCTGCAACAGAGGTAAACAGTTGATTGTTGAACTTTGAATACTATTTTTTGCACTTTAAATACTTTGAATACTATTATATATACTCAAATTATTCACTACTTTATCAAGCTATTACTCAAATTTTATATTGAATTTAGATACATGATCTAAATTTTGACTGGCGTTGAACCTTAATAACGAACCCTTTAGCTGCACTTACGTATTTATAAACTATTTTTACTAACCAAACAGATGCTTTATTTTTAGGATCAAACATGCTAATGAATTAATACATTTACGTCCAGAGAAGCAAGTCCTGACTGGTAGATACCACATAGTTTCAATGGAATTTGATTCACGTTTAGTTGCTGTACACCTCGATAAAGCATGGAACGATTCCAAGTATCTCAACGACAAAAACAATACTCTAAAAGAATTTTTGACTAAATCGGACTTAATAGTTGCTCCTGATATGCAGCTGAGGTATTTATATTTATTTATATTTCCTTTTAGATTTATCATTGCTGATTTTAATTTTTTTTTAATGAATAAGAGCTTAGTTATAAAAATATATAATTTTTTGAATTAAATATGATGCGGAATTATTTTCCTACTTTATTGTTTTTTTTTCCTAATAAAAAAGAATTATTTTAAACAGTGGAAGAGGCATCGCAATATAAATTGTGTGAAGCTTGTAATATTTAGATGAGAGGGAATTTTATAATCTACCGGTTGTCCCAAAAATTACGGATGAATTTTGAATTTTCAATGAAAAGAAGTAAAGGAACGCGATAAAAATGTATGATCTGCAGCATTATGCTGGGGGAACTAGGTAATTTAATTTCACCCAATTTCTCATTTAGTTCAACGTTACACCAATAAGTGGCACAAACTGCTCTTCGATGAGCAAATGGCCAGTAATAACCATCTTCATGTTTTTAAATAGTTCATCTTTAATTTTTTTAATCTTCAATTTTCTAATCTTTAATTTTTTAAGACCACGTAAAGTCTACATGTATCTTTAAAATGTCACGACCTCTTACACCAAAAATCAAATAAATTTTTTTTCTTTAATTTTTAAATAATAACGTCATTTTTATATGACTCAGTTGTTTATTTAAAATGTAACTTAAAATTTTACATCAAGTTTCTAACTTGCTAACTAACTTGCTTGTTCTAACAAGTTTCTAACATCAAGTTTCTAACTTGCATCATTTGAAAATTAAAAATCAATTTTCCATTATAATTTAATTACAAATATTTTAAACAATCGAGTGTTAATTGACCGGCTTTCAGTTTACTTTCATCAAATCTTTCAGTTTATCCTAAATTTTCTTGTTTTAAAAAAAAGAAATATTTTTGTTTTATATTTTTTTTTGCCATTCCTTTTGGCTCTTTGAATTCAATACCGATTTCAATTAAAAAAATCTAAAAAAGAAAGGAAAGTATGTTTAAAATTATTATATGAATATTTCATAATTTGTACTGATGCATAGATTATAATCATTATATTAGTTTGGCACAAAAGTGGTTTTTCTTTTTTTAGCTCATTTTTTCATTAAATATTTCCTAATTATTTCATATACTTTTTTTTCCAATAAGCAAATATCTAACTTACTATAATAAAGTTCTAAATAACAAAATAATTTTTCTCATTATAAATATTTTAAAAATAATATGTATTTTTTTTAAATCTGAGATAGCTATGAAAGCGATAAAAAATATTGTAGTTGCTTTAGGTATGAATGCTTACCGAAAAACCATACTTAAAATTAATAACGTTATTAGAAAGCAGATGCCTTAAGATAAGAAGGTAAATATTTAATTTTTTCTTTGCATTTTTACTTAGCGAAATACGGGGGTGTTCAAGCAACCCTTCATAGACAAAATATTTTTTTATGTTTTTTATAAATTTCGAATTGCATTATTAAAAGTAATAAACGTGAATCTTATAAAAATAAATTTAAGTCTGTGATGTAATGATGACGGGTTAAAAAATAATTCTAAATAAGCTTAATTTCTAAGTCAAATTATTAAACGTGCGTCCAATAAAAATACATCACATTTATTCATTAATAAGTCATTTCATGATTATTATTTAAAATGTTACTATGTATTGAGATCTCTATTGGGCAAAATAAAAAAGTGAACTCACCAAATTCAGTTTGACCTAATGTAGGAATTTTCCCGCAATAAGTCGCAACTCTTATGGTTTCAGGTTCTAAATACTTAGTAATTGGTGCAGACTGAAGATACGAAAGATACGAAATCAGACACAAAACGCGCTTTCTCTGAATAAAAGTTTTTTTTGCGGATTTGAATTACTAATCCCAGAAGAATTGGGGGAGGCCATTGTTTGGAAAAGAGGGTCTCAAAAGTTATGAAAGGAGAACAGTTGAAATTTTGGGACTCCTTAATATTGATTTCACTTTTTGCATAGTTCGATTTATCACAAATTATTTTAAGCGAAATGAACAAATTTCGCACATAGCTATAAAATTCTATCATCCAAGCATAACTCCGTGTAAAAAATGATGTTTAATAATATTTTTTTATGAATGAATTTAATATTATTCAGAAACATTTTAAAATATAGGGTATATAAGTTTTTACATAATTTTAAAAGAATGTAATTTTAAATGCAAACTATAAAATTTGTACGAAATCGTTTGTATCTCGTGAAAGTGAATTTTAAACATACATTTCTAAAATTTCATAACTCAGGAGCTATTTGACCAATTTCGTTCATTTTTTTTATTTGATCATTTAAAATTATAAATTTTAGAATTATGTAATTATTTGTATACTTTGCTGCTCAGAAATTTTTTCGATCATCATTAAGTAAAATAATAAATAATTATTAAAAATTATTTTGTACATGGTATTATCTAAGGTAATGTAATGTATGGTAATATATGGTAATATAAAGGAAATTTAAGATGTATGCTGAAATATTTTTAGGCAAAAAGCGAAATTATCATTATAATGATCTAAAATTTCAATGGATCTTCTTCTGCCTAAAGAACATATTTTTTAGATTGTGGCCACCCCTTACATTTTAATTTATATTTATAACCGTCTTTGAACAGCCAACCCGATTTTGGGTTTACGACTACTAATGTTCAACTCCGTAGCCTTGCAGTTTTTAACCCACTCCAGAAGAAAAGAGAACTCCTAGATTAAACACTGGGAGAAATTTACCTTCATGCTGTCATTTGCGTTCCATGGAGAAGAAAACCACGATAACCTCTCATGGTTAGCCTGACTCTAAAGGAACTTTAAATGAAGATCCGTTTACCACTGAGGACATTTTACGTCAGCACTGTGGAATTCGTATCGACCAGCCATCGCTGGGATTAGAGGCCGATTCACCTCTTTGGAAAGCGAACGCTTTATTCCCTGAGCCATCACGACGTCCTGCATTTTAATGTCAGAAATCAAAATCTCTCAAAAAGGGCTTATTTTATTCAAAGAAAGTACGTTTTTGCGTCTGTTTTCGCAACTTAAAAGATGACCTGGGCTAATTAATTATCGTATTTAGAATTAGATCCTGAAACCTTTACGATTGAGTTCTAGTAGGGGAAAATGCAATTATTAGATCACAAGGGTGTTCACTTTTTTATTTTGTACACTGGCGCACAGTTTGTTGAGGCTCAATGTCTTAATTTATATTCTTTTCTCTTTCAGTCAACATATGAATATTTTAAAAGGTTTTTCCAAGCTGAAAAACTTCGTAGGATGTGTTCACAAAATTAGAATTGGTTGTACCGAATGCGATAGACTTAAAACATCTGTTTTAATACCAGGTAACTTTTCTTAAATACATTAAAAGTTTTCTGTTGCCACTACTTTTAGAATAGATTTTTAGAATTTTTGTCAAGAAAGTATGCACAATGAAGATCGCAAATTAGCATTGAAATGACGAAAATATAAAAAAGATAATTAAATTCTAACGAATCATTAGTGATAATGATATTAAAAATCTCAACTGAAATTTAATTGTATGACGAGAATTGACGGTTTATCAAACAATTTCTGTTGATAATATATTGTCTTCCTGTCTAATGATTAATCGAATTTGATAAGGGCTTTATTTTATTTAACCGCTAATCTGTGGAACGTAATGTTCATTTGAATATTTTGATTTTTGACAAGCATTCGTGAAATATATACATTAAAAGCTTTGATGGTAAAAAAAAAAAAAAAATTTAAAATTCTTATGTTATAATTCTTATAACATTACAAAATATTATTTTTGAAATAATCAATATAAAATATTATTTTTGCAATAATCAATATAAAATATTATTTTTGAAATAATCAATATAAAATATTATTTTTGAAATAATCAATATAAAATATCATTTTTTAAATAATCAATATAAAATATTATTTTTGAAATAATCAATATAAAATATTATTTTTGAAATAATCAATATAAAATATTATCTTTGCAATAATGGTTCAATAAAGAATCAGCAAATTGAACTTTAGAATATTTTCAGAAACAATATTCGAAAAATCAACGATGAAGTCCGTGTGTATGAACAAAAATATCAAACTTCCTTTCAGTCTTCCATTTTTACACGGTAAGTAAAGATATCTTTATATACAAATATTGTACTTATAATATTTTATGTACAAATATTTTTTTTTTCTAATGTGGCTCCGATTTTTTCTAGTTGAATATTGAGGTTGTTATGGAAACATAAAATTATAACAGTGAAATACTAGATGAATCTATTGATTTCCAGGATGCATCTAGTTGTTTATAAGTAATTTTATATTTGCGGCTGACCTCTAAATATTGTAATGATATATAATGTTCCGATTTTATAGAATAGTTCATATTAATATGAACAATTCTATAAAATCAAGGTGCGGTTTACAAGGTGCGGTAGAAAGACTAGAAAACAATTTCATTATACTTTTTATTTTATTTTATATCCGTCGCTGAACAGCCGACCCAATTTTGGGCTTACGACTACTAATGTTCAACTCCGTAGTCTTGCAATTTTGAACCAATCCAGAAGACAAAGAAACTTCTGGATCAGTACCCCCAGAGGTATGTTTTGCTATGGGATCATGGAAGACTTTGTGACTAGACAGATTTAACGTGCATCAGTATCATATTTACTACACGGAGAGTCTTCAACCGGCAGAGATCGAATCCACGAATAGACACGGGCCTAGTTCCCTAACAACCAGGCTATCCCAACCCAATGTACTTTCATTAAAAAAATAAATTAAATTAGTTTTAAAGTGGCCGACTTTTGCAGCGATGACAGTTGCGCGAACGCTTATTAAAATTTCAACAATTGGTATTTTACCTTTAATCTATGCCACCCCCGCCGAAGCAGTCAACTTAGAGATTCCAAACTTATGTGTACAGTGAAATTGAATGATTTTACACTGTCGTTTTCTTTGCTTAAACAACTCTAAAAAGGTAGATCTTTTGCTTGCCCTGTAAAAAATCCAAAATGTATCATATCATCGAAAATTCTATGGGCACCTGAGACCGTTCACGGCCCATTTCTCAGCTATCTTTTAAGGTGGAACTGTCAGGTAACTGGAATGCAAATTGGAAATCAGTGAAAAGAAAATTGAATGTTCTATATTCTAGATAAAGATGCGTCGCAACAACAAAAAAAAGGAAAGAAAAAGCAACCATTGGTCTGAGGTTTATGTCTTCTTTAACGTTTTCGAAAGTAAAAATTTCGTTAAATCCTGCATTATTACAATTTATGGCTTTTTCAACAAAATTTATAATTAATCTTTGCAACATGATGGTCTAAAAAATAAATCTTAAGGAAATACAATGCGTAAACTAAGAAATATATTATATAATATTTTAAAATTAAAGTGGTTGGGAATGCGAAATTAACACACAAATTAAAAAGAAATTAGTTAACTATTACGAAACTATTAGATTTTGTGATGAAATAATTTTGTTTGAACGTTTTTAGCAGACCCTGTATGTTGTTGTTGTTTCTATTGCTACTTGACAATGTCAGCAAGTCTACACGGGAAACCAAAAGAATTTAAGTTAGAGGGTGCGTTTTTTTTTCTTCAGAGCCGCCACCTATGGCCAAGAATACGATTTTAGCCACACGCGCACGTCACATCACGTTATACATTATTAATCCGTGCTGCGATTCATGCATCCATTCATTCATCCACCGATCGTAATTTTGACCTGAACAATCAATCTCAAATTCAGTTACTCCAGACGCATTGATTGGTTATGGGAACTTATAGGACTTAGTGTCCCCAACAAATTTAACGTGCTCCAGCCGTCATTTATTACATGGGGTTTCTTCCTTGGCAAGATTCGTACTCCCCTTTTCACGAACACGAGTCCAATTCCCTACCAACAAAGCTATCCTGGTCTGCACCCTGTATAATCAACATAAAGAGGTACATACATAATATTATTAAAAGAGAAAGCAACAACGGAATCACAATACTATCGATAAGAATGGTAGTAATTATAAAGTATTTAATCAGAAATAACATGGAAATCAAGTTTATAATACGAGAAAACTTTGAAAATGTTTCTGTTTGAAAGGAAAAACACAAACAGCGTGGCGTGCTTCTTGGGTCTGGGCATTTTCGTCATAAATCCATTTACACGCCCATTCATTATGTTGAAATAGGCGTGTACTTGTAATTGATTTATTCATCTAGTCCTTATATCTGTTTTATTTATCTTTCTAACTATTTTATTTAAGCATACAATAAAAATATTCAGCTATTTAACAACTGAGTTGAATGTCATGACAGTTTAATAACACAATCATAAATATTTCGCAATTATTTTTACGAGTTTACATAATTGTATATTTTTTGTCTTCTAATATGTTTTTCTGCCGTTCTGTATTATTCGAAATGAATAAATAGTTAAGGCAAGTGGTGAAATAATGAAAGACAGCATCACTGATGTAGTTCCTTGTTTGGATTCCCTCAAAAAGCTAATATGCTCTTTGGCAAATCATGCGTTAAATTCAATTAAAATATATTATTTCATAGTTTTGTTATTTCAGAGTGCCAGTAAATATTTTTTTTTAATTTAATTAACTAAAACCAACGTTTTTTATTAGGATTTCATTGTTAAGGGAATCACCAATTTTAATTTAAATGTTGAGTAAATTGAGTCTTTTAAATATATAATAAAATTAATTTAAAAACATTATTAATCAAAAAGCTTTATTAAGTAATAAATAAACTACCAGAAAATACTTCATTCAAAACATCTGTACTACCATCAAAATTAATGTAAATATAAGAAGAGTATTACTTTAAATTTCTAAAATGATAAATGATGTTTTGTTGGAAGATGTTAAATAACGCAACAAAGCATTGTTTTTTTCTACTCAGAATTGATTGCTTTAACTTCTTTAAAACTTTAAATTTTAGAAAATCACTTTAATTTATTATTTTAAGGATAATTAGGTCTAAGCACACGTAAAAATGTAAAATTGGTTTTGTGAATATTTAATTGTTTTTTTTTTTTTTACATATTTTTTTTTAGAAAAATGTTTACGAAATTTAAGTTTCATGTATTTCTTTCAACCTATTAATAAAACACGTATACAATTATAATCTTCAAAATTCCATATTTTATCTACCAGTTTTAAGTTTTTCCCAAAATTAAATAAAAATTAGAAAAATGCTGGACAGTTAGTGCCCGATAAAATGTACAAAAGCGAACGAAATCATGCTCATGCAATGTGATTTTTGTTCGATTTTAAGACATTGGGTGTAAAAAGTTATTAACAATATCTTTGTATTAAAAGCTTTTTAATAGCTTAGAGAAACAGATTTTTCAGTCTCACAGCTATTATACAGGTGTCTGGCTTTTTGTGAAAATCAAGTGTTGCCAGCTGAATCGCCTCTTTTTAACTACCGCTGTCAAGAAAATTGATTTGATTCAAAGCTGTACCGCTATATCTCAAATCATTGAAGGAAGGAGTATGTTGCAATGTTATTGCGCAAATTGAACCATATATCTGTTAAATTTGAACCATAGCATCGCGTAACCAAATTTAAAAAGAACGATAATATGATTATATCTGGTAAAACAGAGATCTTCGATATAGCAGTAGGAAAAGGAGTCGCTCTACCGCTGGTAGAGAGCTGAGGATCATGAGTTCGATCCTGGCATTCGACTTAAAAACTGGGGTGCATGAACAACAAGGTGCATGTTAAATCTGCAACAGTTTACATTCCTCTCGTAGGTTGGGATGTGGAAGTTAGAAAAGAAGGATACCAGTTGAGGCACCAACCATGTTGTTTGACCGGAGTCGAAATTGCATGGATTTCCCACCATGGCTTATAAAGATAGAGCCAAACAAAAAGAGTTAGGTGCTTAACTTCGAGAGGGAGATGGGTGGTAAAAAGTTCAGAATAAAAGTATTTCTCGTTATGATTATTTACAGTAAAATAAATGTCAGATGTGGGCACCCCTTAGCTTTTCAATCTTTAAAAGACTCTAACAAGGGAAACTAGGGAAGTGTGACTCGCCAATTTTGAAATAAACTAGTGGGATGTCTGCCTTATGAGGAATAATTTTAGGGGGTAACATTCCTTTCGGCCCATAGAAGGTCCTGTGAGAGATAACAAAATAATTCAATGTATAGAAAAATCGGTATTTTATTACTTCAATGCAGACTATTAGTTATTGTAATTATCTCATACTCCAATTAATTTTGTGGTACTTTCACGTACTATATAATGCATATTTATTGTCAAAATGGATTTCGAAAATTTTATATATCTGTAGTTTTTCAGAAAAACCTGTTAGGTTAATTTAAAAAAAAAATTACATCAAATTTTTTAAATTTTTTTTCTTCAAAAAATTTTCCAAATTAATTGGAGTATTTAATTACAAATCATTTAATTAATAATTAATTAATGAGTAATTAATTAATTAATGATCAAATAATTAATTTGTTAATAAGCAAATCAATTAATTAACCAATTAATTAATAATTAATTGGAGTATGAGACAATCACAATAACTAATAGTCTGTATTGAAGTAATAAAATACTGATTTTTCTATACATTGAATTATTTTTTATCTCTCATAGGACCTTCTATGGGCCGAAACGAATGTTGCCTCCTAAAATTAATTATTGCTCATAAGGCATACATCCCACTAGTTTATTTCAAAATTGGCGAGTCACACTTCCCTAGTTTCCCTTGTAAGATTTTGTTGTTGTTGTCGTAGGCCAATAGGCGAAGGGGTGCGATTGTTCTTGCTTTCCAGTGGCGCCATCTATTACCAAGAATTCGACTTCTTCCACATTCATAAGCCACACCTGGTTATAGGGCGGAACCATTCATGCATTCATTTATTCTTCCACATATCTTAATTTTGACCTGAACCAAAGAATGATCCATCTCCATTTCAGTACAACCAGAGGTATAATTTGCTATGGAAACAGGAAGGATTTTTTGACCCGACAGATTTAACGTTCACCACTCACTATTTACTACACGGGGAGTTTTCTGCAGACTGGATTCGAACTCCCGTTCTCACGAAATTGAATTCAGCGCCCTGCCACCAGGCTGACATTGATATAAATGCTTTGATTCTCCTTATTTTAATTGTCAAACAAAAGTTCTGTTTGGAAGTTTTAAAAAAAATCTTTGATTTTTACTGTTTACAGCTAATACTTTTCTACAATTCATAAAGAATATTAAATTTTGCAATTATCAGCATTTATTAACTATTTAAACACTTACAGTCCCTAGCCATATTTAGACGCTCTATAAGATTCTATGCAAAAGTATAGTTATCAGGTGATACTATACAGTTGTATTGTTTTTACTCGGATGAAACCGGTTTGCTTTTGTTTACGTTCCTGTACCAATGGGTTAACATTGTAATGCAATACGCTAAAAATAAATACAAATAGGAAGTCTATAGAAAATCTCCCGAATGAAAACCCATTACATGTATGTTTAAATATAAAAGTATTGCCTATAAACTCGTGCAAANTCCTGTATCAATGGGTTAACATTGTAATGCAATACGCTAAAAATAAATACAAATAGGAAGTATATAAGAAATATCCTGTATAAAAACCCATTACATGTATGTTTAAATATGAAAGTATTGGCTATAAACTCGTGCAAATCATGTCATTATTAAAAAACTACAGTACGTCTAATCATTTGATCTAATTATTATAATATACTAATATAATGCTTGATATAATGAATATTCAATGTTTATATAATATATCGTCTAATTTATCCTATCGTTTAATTTAATCAATTGATACACGAACGTAAACAAGCGCAAACCGGTTTCATCCGCTTAAAAACATTAAAGCTGTATAGTATCAGTTGATAATTAAGATTTTACATAGAATCTTAGAGTGAGTCTAACAATTTGGTCAGGGACTGTAGATACTGAATATTTTTTATCAATTTTAATTTTATAAACATTGATAAGAAAATATTTAGTATCTAAGTCACGATCTCTTTTTCCAGAGCTCAAGAAGTCGGTTAATTTAAATATCACTGAAGATAAACAAAATGTAAGGTAATGTAAAAACTTTATTTTGTCGAGTTATTATTTAAAACAATTACTTTCCTCAAAAATCATAAAATTTCACGTAATTACTATAATTGTATCAAGTAAAAACAAGAGAATGCTAGAAGAATTCCCTTTCCACTAATTTTTTGAAAGTGCGGTTATTTTTTCAGAGAAAATAAGAAAAAAAAGTGGATTTCGTTTTCAATCAAATAAATTAGTCAGCCGTTAATTAAAATTATAAAAACTTGTTATTTTTAATGCTATAAAAAAGCTTTTGGTTGAATAGATCTTTTTTTTCTCTTCGCTATTTGCAAAATAATTGGAGAAAAACAACAAATTAAATTTGAGTTTTTAAAAGCTATTTTGTGCATTAACGACGGGAGAATAAAAAATAGTGTGAAATTATATTCATTTAAATGAAAGAGAAAATATGTAAAGTGTGGTAACGTTTAGATGCAAGTTGTTTGTTAAAAATTGCGTTAATGAAGTGAAAATATAAATAATAATTAATGTAAAAAATTTGGTTTATAATACTTAAAACTGTATTAAAATACGTTTTAAAATGCAGTGGATTGTGAGCGAAACTAGTAAAGAAAGGTTCTGTGTGATATTTTAGGGAAAAAATTCAGATTTTTTGGTGAAAGTTCGTATTTTGATCTTATTTAACTCTAAAACATTGTTTTATTTCTCCATTCATTAATTCTAAGTGAGAGATCCTAGTGAAACGTGCTGATAATGACCAAACGCTGAGATTTCTTTTTGACCGTCCGATTTATTTTTATTTTATTAGTGAAGTCATTGCACTTTATGTATGAATGAAGGTTTTAAATAACAAAAAATTTATATTTTTAGGGAATGGCATTATTAGAGCTTTTAGCTATAATAATAAACTGATTGGTTTGTTTGTCTGTGCGCTTGTGTTACTCTTTAAACTAGATTTTTAATTTTCTAGCTTATGACTCACGGGAGTTTATTGCATGTTGTTTAGCATTTATTATTTTATTTGCTGTGCCAGATAAGCTCAATGATCAACGTTAATGTTGTAGCATAGGTGGACTACGTTACCAAATAAGTATTCCTAAAGCAATTCACGTGTTAATTTTGTTTTGCTTTGCTATGTATTTAGATAGAACTGAATATAATTTATAATCAACGAATTTTAAGTAAAGAAAAAACAGCTAACCAGCTTATCGCTAACTTACAAAACCAATTTATCTCTAACGTTCGCCAACCCATGGATTTGCTTTAGCAGTTCCCTTTGGCTCTCGTTTATTGAATACGTTGCTTTCGTCTAGTTTTGTATACTTTTTTGAGGACTAAAGTTTTAAATAACTAGGTCATAAAACTTTTCTTTGGTTAAAATTAAAAATATTTGTTTGGTTTCTCTGCACTGAATTTTAAATAAATATTTTTTTTAACAAAAAATATTAAATATACACATTTTAAAATTAATTTGAAATTACCCATAGCTTACACATTTTTTTTAAGAAGACGTTTAAAAATGTCAGTGTTCTGAATTACCACAGGTATAAGTCCTTTATTTTACCACGAAAATGTTAAATGAATTAGAACTAAAGAAGTGTAAGAAAACTGAGTATAGTCATAAAAAAAAAAGTTAAAATTTAAGTAATATTAGGATGTTAAAATAAAATTTTAAGCTGAAACCAATATTGACAATTCAAATTTCTCTAAAATTATCAACCTCTGAATTTTATTTTTTTCCTTTGTAACCATTTCTAAATTTCAATATTCAGGCACACAACAAGGATAGCCCATGCAACAAATATCTAAATGGAAATGTGTTTTCTTAAACTCGCTTATGACTGCTTCCAAGTTTGATATTTTATTTCTTGATATTTTATATAATATATAGATACAATGAAAATCAAAATTAAGGGAGAAATAATGCTAATTCCTTTAAGAGAAACATAAAAAAATCACCATATAATTTGACACCGATGCTGCTTGATTAATTTTGTTATTAGGAAGTACTTGAAATAAAAAAAGGCTTTTGTTCTAAAAACCGAATAAATGGAAGAAAGGATACTAAACAGAAGCAAAAGAAATCACCAAACTATTATTGGCTCCAATGATGTTCAATTAATTTTGGAAATAGACACTAATTGAAATAAAAAATTAAGCTATTGTACTAAAAGCCAGATTAATGGAGAAACGGTTCTAATTCATTTATTAGAAAAATAAGAAATCGCTATTCCCTTTTTGAACGCCAAGGATTATGCTCAAATAATTTTTCTAATAATTGCTAATTGAAATTAAAAAAAGTGAGCTACGGATTAAAAAGCAAAATTGATGGAGAAATGATACTAATGATGATTCGTTTAGAAGAAGCGTAAAAAACTATTATACGTCATTCGTGCTTAATTATTTTTGCAATATACGCGCTTGATAAAAGTTTTTGAGCTAAAGTTGGATTGAGTCATGAAATATGAAGTATGCATTCGAGATTAAAAATATTCTAAAAGAAAAGTAAAATGCTCGAGATTAAAATTACTCGCATTTTAACTTTGCATCCAATATAAAGCAACAGTCATTTATCTTAATTTTATCATGCCTCCTAAATATTATATTCGATTTTAAAAAATTTAAAGATAATTCTAAGAAACTATTAGTCCCATTAACATAATTTAGATCAGACGGGAGTAAAACAAGATACATTTGCTTTATAAGGAATAATAAGGAGTTATTGACGAAATGTATTGAGCATCTTTATCTCATTTCATTCCATTTTTTATTCTAATTCATAATCGTCCTCCTCATTCTATTCATCCATCCATTCATTATCATTATTAATATATTTATTTCACTTATTTTTTGCTTATTTAATAAATTTTGCTTATATTTAATTATTTATTTATTATTTTTCTTTTCCTGCTTGAAAAATGTTATATATGCCTTATATATTTTCTACATTCATCATCACCCTCCTCATATCCTTCATCCAACCATTAATATTATTAATATGCTTATTTCAATTATTTTTTTAATTACTTTATTAATTTTACTTATTTAATTATTTATTTATTAATTTTACTCATTTAATTATTTATTATTATTCTTTTTATAGACCAAAAATTTTATTTATGTTTACATATTTTCTAGCACAGACGATCCTGATAAGACTTGTTTCATCATCCGTATATCAGAGAAATTGAATAGACTTTATTCTAAGTTCCTTACTTTTGAAAATGATGAAGAACTGAAGAATAGTATAAAGGAGAAAAAAGAATTTTTAGTAGTGATTGAGCTGATGAATGGGGAGTCTCGTAAAGAAATATTTAGCTCAGAAAATATAACTATGAATAAATTACAAGGCGTAAAATTAGAAATGTAAGTAATTGATTTTAAAATACTATCCATACTATCATTTCCCAAGCATAATTATTGCAAGAGCTTAAATCTTATTAAAAACTATTTTATGCTTCTTCAAACTGAGAAATAATAATAAAAAGTATATTGAATCAATAAATATGCATACAGAACAAATTTATTCCTCATCTTTGGGCCTTTTTGGATAAAACTAATCCGCACTTACGTTAAGAAAACAATGGGAGTTTGCTTAAGGAAATTAAAAGGAATCCAGAACTCATTATTAGAGATAGAGGATTCACAAATTCAATTCATATGGATTCAAAAATTCAATTTATATGGATTCACAAATTCGATAAGTATGCATTCACAAATTTAATTCATATGGATTTAAAAATTCAATTCATGTGGATTCAACAATTCAATTCATATGGATTCAAAAATTCAATTCATATGGATTCACAAATTCAATACGTATAGATACACAAATTTAATTCATATGGATTCAAAAATTCATTTCATATAGATTCAAAAATTCAATTCATATGGATTCACAAATTCAATACTTATGGATTCACAAATTTAATTCGTATGGATTTAAAAATTCAATTCATGTGGATTCATCAATTCAATTCATATGGATTCGCAAATTCAATTTCTATTTCTGCAGATAGAATTCACTTCATATATTACTATTTGTCCATAAGTATCTGAACAACCATTCAAGGGATCATGGTGTGAGGATGTTTTTATAGCTCAAACATATTAGTTCTGTTATCAGAAATATAAGATACATGTGGACATTCTGGGTAATACTGTTGTCCAAACTCTATGGAAATATTCCGGGGAAGGCTTATTTCTCTTTCAGCAGTATAGTGACTCAATTCACTCATCAAGACTTAGTTTGAAGAAATATATACTTAAGCACTGGACACAATTCACCTATCTAAATCTCATAGAACACCTTTAGGATGTCCAAAAGAATATGATATAACTTCTAAGTAGAATAAAGCATGAAAACAGCGTGGATAAAGTACAAATAATCTAATCTAAGTATAAAAAGTCTAATAATCTGATCTAAGTATAGAAACAGTTATACTAAGTATTTCATTTTATAACTGGTGTTGAATAGCTCACTCAATTTTGAGTTTACAACTACCAATGTTCAGCTCCGTAGCTTTGAAATTTTGAACCTAATCCTGAAGACAAGGTAACTTCTGGTTCAAGTATTGGGAGAAATTTGCCTTCGTGGAAGAAATTTTAATGGAACAAACCCGCATTTGCGTTACATGGGAAGGAAAACCCGAAAACCCCTCACGATTAGCCTGACGGCAAAGGAACTCTAACCTATGTTCCGTCAACCACAGGGTATAATTTACGTAAGCACTGTGGTCTGTTAAAGTGGGGTTTAAAATTCGTATCGCTGGGATTCGAACCCAAGTTACCTCAATGGAAGTCGAGCTCTCTGTTCCCTGAGCCACCTCGGCTGTGACATACTAAGTGAGTCTGTTTCTGTACTTTCATTTGCGCTTTAATCAAGTTGTTTTATTGTTTTAACCTTTGAGATCAATTAGAACCCAGATTATTGAGATTGAGAGGAATTAGAGCCAGAATACCGACCATCTTCAGTGCCAACATTCACTTCAGCAGAGGTCATTGGTCAATAACTGGTGGAAAGACATCTCAGACAAGTGTAGACTGACAACGATGCAAAAGGAGACCAATATCATATGGAGTCTGTGGCAAATTATTAGACGCATTGTAATATTCTATGTAAAATCTTAATTATCAGGTGATACTCTATACAGCTTTATTGTTTTTACGCGGTTGAAACCTTTTTGCTCTTGTTTACGTTCGTGTATCAATTGTTTAACATTGTAATGCAATACGTTAAAAATAAATACAAATAGGAAGTATATAAAAATCTCCTGAATAAAAACCCATTACATGTATGTTTTGATATAAAGGTATTGCCTATAAACTCGTGCAAAACATGTCACTATAAAAAAAACTACAGCGCTTCTAATAATCTGATCTAATTATTACAGTATAATAATGTAATACCTGATCTAATAATTATTCCATAATTATATAATATATCGTTTAATTTGTCCAATCGTCGAATTTATATTCGATATCGCCTAATTTAACCAATTGGTATCCGAACGTAAATAAGTGCAAACCTGTTTCAGTCGCCTAAAAACAATAAAGCTTTATGGTATCACCTGATCATTAAGATTTTGCCCAGAATCTTACAGTGCGTCGAATAATATAGCCAGGGACTTTAAGTGTATGCCTTAGGAAGTCTGTAGCGCTACGTTAGGATGCTTTTGACCAAATAGAGAAATTTTTTTTTTTTTTTTGAAAACCATTAAATGTTTACTGGTGCAATTAAAAAAATGGCTTGATGTAAGTTTTATGAAATTTGAGCTTTTCTTTAAAGTGAAATATTGTATCTCTAGCATAATTCTTCATAATTTTTTCAGCTCCTGAACTTTCCATTTAAAATTTAAAAGTTCAAGGAATTCTCTTAGTTTAGCAAGATGAATGTTCCTTTTTTGATATGAATAGGGCATTGAACTCACGGAGCATTACGTTTCGTAATTTCTTGATTTAATCAGTAGCTAGTTCTTGTTTTGTAATTTTGTTTAAAAATGTACTTTAGTAAATTTGGATACTGAATTTTAAAGTTTAAGGATGTAGGAATTTTTAAAACCTTCTCAAAGTCTTAAGTCTTTTAAAGTTGAAATTTAATTTGAAAAGAATTTAAAATTCTGTAATTAAGATCAGAATTTTAATCATTTTTCAATGATTAAAATGAAACAAAAATTATTCAAAAATATCCATTAGTTACTGAATAGATAAGATAAATTTCAGATAGACGGTAGATTAAAACTGAGAAAGAAAAATAATTTTTTTCGGTCTGAAGGGTAACACCTATAAGCATTCTTTGCATGATATGAACTTCTGAGTTCACTTAAAAACAATAGCATTCTTTTATGTATTTTTTAAGTTTTCGTGATTTACAGTAAAAAGTAAAAAAAAAAATGTTCCAATAAAACTTTACTCTTTGTTATACGCGATGGCACTGGTGTCCGATAGTTCAGCGTACTATAACGCATATATAAAAGTAGGCTTAGTAAAAGAAGGCTTAACTTTAAAAAAGGAACGATTACAAGTAGGCTTAACGTTTGAAAACCAGTGTATGTATAATTTAAAAAATAAATATCAAGAGTTTTGCATTTCAAAATTGTATTGTTTTCCAATAAATATAGTATATCGTGTATGATTTTCGTTTATATTTTTAATTTTTCTTTTATATTTAATACTCATTGTTGTTACTCCAAGGCTAAAAGCGCCAGGGTCTTGAAATTGGCACGGGGCTACAATGAGTAATTTTAGCTCCAGATCCAAAAAATAGTTAAAAGTTTTTTATTATTTCGTGCAGGAGAGGTGTTTGAAAAATAAATTTATCGTATTGATTTAGCATTAGTCGCATTAGTCATTGTTATAATTAAAACTGCAGAAGATTCTGTTTAGGAGTTTCTGTTGAGGATCATTGGCGTTAATAAGCGTATGGTTAATTATTTACGGTTCATTCAAACGCCAATGGCTCTCAATTAATTTAGGTTATGAATACTGCTGGTATTGCGGTAATTTCTTCTGTTTATTACTGTCCATCTTAAGAGATAAGTAGCAATTTTATTGGCAAAAGTTTTGACTATCTTAAATTTACCTCCAGCAACAGCATTATGCCAAATGATTATGATTATTTCGCTCATTATTATTACTATTATTTATTTATTTTTTTGCTAGGATGAACTTCTGAGAAAGTGTTTTGTTTAATCTAATAACGTAAAATCACCGGGAGGGGCAATAAATATTAGAAAGACAGAAATAAATAAATATTAGAAAAAAATAAAGCGCATTTTTTAACGAGTTACCGAATTCTGAAACAAAGCAGTATTCAATAAAATAGTTTTAAAAAAAATTTAAAACGTTTTTAAAAACAATATTATTTTTTTTGAATTTGCACGAAAAAAAAGAGATAAAATATTCCGTGTAACTTATAAGTATCAATTGATATAGTTTCAGATACTTTTCTAGCTTCTATGTTAATTTTATATAAAGTTTGAAATATAGGTTTATAAATTTTTTTAAAGAGAACCGTTTGAAAATTTGGCGATTTGTTTGATCTTGATATTCTTGTTCGAGAAACTCCAACATTTTAGCTTTTTTCTTTAAGGTCTGCAGAAAGTCTTGCAGATTTTTTTTAAAACTTTTTTTTATTTATCATTGAACAGCAGACCCAATTTTCGGGTTTACGACTACTAAAGTTCAACTCCGTAGCTTTGTAATTTTGAACCCAATCCAGAAGACAAGGGAACTCCTGGATCAAGTATTGAGAGAAATTTTGCCTTCGTGGAGGACTTTGATTGAATTAACCAGCATTTGCGTTACATGGCGATGAAGACCATGAGAACCTCCCTAGATTAGCGTGACGGCAAAGGGACTCTAACCCATGATCCGTCTACCACTGAGGATATTTCACGTCTGCCCAGTAGACGGTGCAAGCCGGATATGGATTTGTATCGACCAGCCATCGCTGGTATTCGAACGTGGTTCACCTCATTTTAAAGCGAACGCTCTATTTCCTGAGCCATTGCGGCTCTGGCAGAAAGTTTAAAATGTAGGCTTATAATTTTTTTTAAGAAAAGCGAATGAAAATTCGGCTGCTTATTGTGTCGTTTATTTGGTTTATCTGTTTTTTTTTTAAATTCTTAAGAAAGTCTTGCAACACGTATTAATGTAAACTTTATAACTGAGACTATATTGGCTCAATTCTCATAAGTAAGGCGCAATATTTTCGTACACAACCATAAAAAATGTTTTGTGTTTTTTAAATTTTTTAAAATTATTTTATTTTTTTAATATTTTGAATCAACTAAATATTTTAGTTCTAAACTACTTTCTTTATCCTTAATATTTTTATTCTTTAGGTCTAAAAGTAAATTACTATTCTGTGTAGATGAAAGATGCGGAAAAATTCAATTAAAAGAAAATACTCCTGTTGCAATTTTATTCGAAACATCAACAAAATATAAACGTAAGTACAATAACTATTAATTTTAAGAATTTTAATATTGCGAGCGTAAATACTGAACCAAACACAAACATTTTTTTCATAATTAATGTTTAATATATCATCCCTACGATTGCAGAACTTGTTTTAATAATTTTTGACACTGATTTTTCTAAGTATATTGGGTTGTTATTATATCAATTCTAACAATGTTTCCCCCTTTTAACTAATTCCTAGTTAATTCACAGTATCATAAGTATCAACAAAAAACAATGTGATTATTGCTTACAACTGAAAATTCCTCCTAAGAACATCATGAAACTCCGTTGAAAGAAAACACGTTTTTTTTTTATTCAATTTCTTCAAATAATTCAAATATATGAATCAACTGCTTAAGATACCATAAAAAAAGTAAGAGACAAATTAAAAGATTATTTAATACTGAAACAATTATAAATAATAACGAAAATACTAAATTGTCCGCCTCAGACCAAAAAATTTTCAAAATTGTACCTAAAATAGTCGTTGATCAGCAGATCCAATCTTGAGCTTACGACTACTAATGTTCAACTCCGTAGAAATGCCATTTTGAACCCAATAAAAAAGACAAAGAAACTGCTGGAACAAGCATTGGTAGAAACTTGCCTTCGTGGAGGACTTTTTGATGGAACTATAACCAGTATTTGCTTTACATAGCGAGGAAAACCTCGCAAGGTTATCTTGTCGGAAAGGGGACTCTAACCCATGATCCGTATACCACTGAGGATATTTAACATCAGCACTGTGATCGGTGCATGTGCGGAGTTCCTATAGACCGGCCATCGCTGTTATTCGAACCAAAGTCAGCTCATGGGGAGACAAGCAGAGTTAATATTAAACAAGGATCAATAAAGGAAATAAAACAGAGTTAGCATAAAATACCTTAATATCAGAGCTAACTGATACTCTAAAGTTTAGTTATCCATGGTTTAAAATCCTCAATCGGTAATGTTAAAATTAAGCGAGTACCTAAAAAGGTAATAAAATAAAGTTCATAAAAATTACGTAATATCCGATTTAACTGATGGGCCCTCATTTAGTAAACCCTGGTTTAAATACTTTAAATGTGGACTTGAAAAAAAAGATGAAATTGAAAATACATTAAAAAAAAAAAGGGAGTCAGACTTTTGAAAAAGAACATCGATTAAAAGAGCATGCTTATGAAATTTCCGTCGATATATCTGTTGTTTTTTCAAAGATTTATCAGCATAAAAATATTGTTTATTTCAGGTAAAACGTTTTCATTGGAGTTGAGTAGCCCTTCAGCTGTTTCGACAGAATTCAGTTTTCTTGCACATGAGTTCCCCTATAGTGCAAATAGTGAAATGATTCAACGTATCTGTCTCGAGTCTTGACAACTTGAAAGTGATCTATTAAAACAACGCAGATTATATAGGATATATATTACAAGTTGTAGTTACAAAAACTACCCAAGTGATGTACATATCAGAACCGTGTTGTATTTATATGAGAAATGCGTGGACATTTTTTTCAGGAACATATCATTGTAAAAAAAAATCAAAAATAAATTAATAGACTGCTGTAATTATGTATTAAAAATAAATGAAAAAAAAAACATGTTTATGAAGTCGCTGTCTTTATTTTGAAATATCTATATGATTATACAAAATGTTCATAAGAGGAAAAAAAGATCCATATTAATACGTCAATCTATGAAACAAATGCAATTAGAATGATTAAAGGACATTTCATTTCTGTTTCGACGAAGAAATAACGACTAACTAATGGAAACCTTGGAAAATATTTCAATTTCTATTATTTTAATAGGCTTTGAATCTTAAGATCAATTGCATGATCCCTAATTACTGATAAATGTTTTGTAATTCGGAGGCATTTTTTTTCCTTTCATATAAAAGAACTTATTTCTTTATTCAAATGAAAAAAAAAATTCATTTCTTCTTAGAAAATTTTTCGAAACTAAGAATTTTTTGCTTATCTCATTGGGACAAATCATTTGACATGTATGATGAAATTATAATAAATTACAAAGTATATGGCTATTGAAGTTAGATATTAAAAGGTTAAAAAAAATTAAATACTTGTTATTGTTTCACAGTTGCATGATTTTTTACTTATGTCCCTTGTCAATATCAGCAAGACTGCTAGGAGAAATCAGACAGAATTTTTAAAGTAGAGCGTGGGCTTCTTGTTTTTCAGTGGCACCATCTACGGCCAAGTTTCAACCGCACACACGTCACTGCCCGTTTTACAAGAAGGACTCATTCGTACTTCATTCATTCATTTACAGATCAAAATTTCGACCTGAACTAGAGAACGATCCATCTCCAATTCAGAACCCCCAGAGGTATTGATTTGTTACCGGAACTTGGAGGTCCTTATGACTCCTACAGATTTAACGTGTACCAATCACCATTCAATATAGTCACAATCTTCGGCCGTTGGGATTCGAACACACGATCTCACGAATATTTCACTAAGAGTTTCCTTTATATCTTCAAGTATATCGATTCCCGTCTGAGACACTCAGTGGTGAGAAACACAAAAAAGGAAGCTTAAAAGAAGGTTACAAAAAAAAGGTTTTATTTCCTACGACGATTCAGCAGCAAATCACACGGGGAACGGAGTTAATTTTGGGTCAGTAACAATTAAGAAAAATGCAATCGATATTTTAAAACAATAAAAGTTTGCTAAAAGATAAAAATGCCATCACAGTTAAAAGGCAAAGAACTTAAAAAAGTCAGTTAATAAAATTCAAGTGGTTAGATTTACAACTGAAAACAAAATAAAATCCTTTCGATGCAATTTTTGGTTTACACGAGATGTAGCAGCAAAGCAAACATACAAAATATCCATTAAATGTTTCATTTTATTTGCATCTTAATAATAACTCGTCGAACAAAACGCGTACTCGTGAGGAAGGAAATCCCAGTGCTTTCTCAGACACGCTCGTATTGTGGTACAACAATGGAAAGCGCGTTATTGACTGAGTTAACTAAATAAAAATTTAGTTTGTAAAAAATAAAAATTTATTAAATTTTAAATAAATTTTCATTAATAACCTAAAACAATGTGTTTTTTTTATAGTTTTATAACATATTTTATACTGTCTTTCACCTATGACTTCAGTGTCAATCACCGATGACTATCGTAGTCCAAACGGAAAGTTCCGTGTCTGTCACCGATGATTTTTAAGACAGTCAAAGTGTTAATAAGAAAAAAGTACTCCGAAAATTAGGATAATCGATGTAGTTTCGTGTTTAAGTAAAAATATTGATAAAGATTGGAGTCTTAAATCAAACGAAAGCAACAAAATCATACTTGATTATATTATATATTTGTCACGGTAAATGACCGCAATCAGGAGAATGTCGACTTAAGCCGGTGAATGCCAACAATCACATAGTCACTTTTATAAATTTCCGAAATATTTGTTATATCCGATTTGATATTAGTTAATTCTATGATATCATTTTATTTATTCGATATTTTAATATCTGTTGAGAATAGATTAGGAGAAACATAAGTATTCGGAGTCCGGATTAAATGCAAACTGGGAAGTGGTACTGAACCATAAAAAACATTTATGTACGGCATACCGGGCAAATGCATACCGGACAGTAGCACTCAACTAGACCTAGTACATATTTCGGACATTTACCAAAGCGACTATGTGATTGTCAACAGTTACCAATATCGGTCATNTATGCCTGGAGTATTGCAGAATGTTCGATTGTCCATGCGCCGGAGATGTGAGGTGTACATTGTAGCCGGTGGCAGAAACTTCGAACACTTACTTTGGCCCATGTACCATATGATTTTTTCAATGTATTATTATAGCGATTTTTCACTTACGGTCTCTTTTCTTTATGGTGCTTCTGTGTACGCCACCTCTTCAGGAAAGCATTTCCGACCCCACATTGCTATATGATTTTGAGTCGTCAGGATGCCCCCTACCCCTCTTAGAAGTTCTGAAACGCTTAACTGAGACACCCTGTATATATATATATATATACACCACCTGATAAAGTTGAGCCATTTTAACTGAAATAAGCACGTATTTTCTGTGCATCATCGTATTTCAACAAAAATTAAAAGTGCCAATTAAATGTAGCATTTCAAAGTAAATGCTCCAGAACTGTTTTATTTTTCTATTAAAAAACCCTTTTTCCCAAAAGTATTTTGTAACAATTTTGAAAGCATAAGCAAATAGAAATATTGCTTAAATATGATTGTCTCAAAACAACATGAAACAGTTTTGAAAACCTTGATTCGATAACTGTACTGAAATTTAAGTGTCCAAAACATTTTTGTAATAATACATCTTAATTACATTTCTTCTTAAATACGATCCCTCCTCCAAAAAAAAGTAGAAAATTTTAAGGATTATTTAAATCATATTAAATGTTTAGTATTATTTTAATTGTATAAAAACTATTTTCAAACATAAATTAATCTTTTTTGCTTGGGGAAAAATTATATCATTTTAATTATAACAACAGAGAGTAAAAATATTCAAAACTAAATCTGCATATTATTTATCCGATATTAATATATAATTTATTCCAAATCAATATATTAGAATAATATATAGTGAAAATTTAAAATTTAACGATTTAAATATACCTTACTCTAAGCCAACCATTGATTTAACGCACAAAGTAGCAATTAAGGAATCTTTAAATGGCTGGATTATTTTAAAACTGCTTTGAAATAAATAAAAAAAAAGAAAAGGAATAAATTTAAAAAAATACAATTCACTACAAAATAAAGAAGCTGCGATCACAGGTTGCTCATTGGCAAAATGGTTGTTGTCTAATTTTTTTTTTTTTGAAAATAAACCATTTGGAGTTTTTTCATCTTCATCTTGGACAGCTTTAACTTTTAATTCTGAACTGCTAGATACACAATTTCGCAGACATGTTTAAATGCAGCTCAGATACATTCTGTGTAAATTCTTTGGATGACTGAATAAGACATTGAACAGCCAATCGAGATCAATATTAAAATTTTCGGATTGGTACAATGGTGCTTGATGGAGATTGTAAGCTGCATCATACACCCGCTTTGGATTCACAAGTTTATATATGAAATATGATTTGAAAGCTCGGCTTTTTACCAATTTTACAGGAATAGGGAATGAATCTTTTATATTGTGTGGAAGACAGTCTGCGGTCTTGTGCAAGTTATTGGGTACGTTGACAATGGATCCTTTTATCCTTAACTGATGATCAACACCCAGTTCTCGCATTTGCATGAAAGGGGTTCGGAGAGTCACCATTCGCTCTTCAGTAGGGTTCAATTCTTTCAACCACTTTCTTTAGGACCGGCTTCATGCTTGCGTTTGCGAACGGAATCCTTTGGTTTTTCTGTTTGTGTGTAACGCTTAAGGTATTCCCGTCTATGCTCTTTGGCTTTTTCAACCTCGGTAAGTTCAGGCCTTAGGCATCGTTTTTTTTCCTTGCTTCAACTCTAACTTTTGGGATCATGTCAATCTGTTTGGACCCTCTTTATGTGTGATATTCATCTCAATTAGTATTGAAAACGATCCTGTTTGAACTGCTGATTAGAATTTCTGATTCTTAATTTAAACAATAAAAGCAAAAATATCGCACAAATGATGAAATTCTCTTTTATTCACAACTCAATAAGTATTTATGGGATCTCTCTGGTCCCATATCTCAAAAATAAACTCATCAACTTAATGCATAATAAAATTAAAAGTGAAAAAAAGAATTCTAAAAAAATTATCAAACAGCAGCCGTCGCCATAGCAACTGAATGCTAATACTCTTGATTATTGTAGTTGAAAAGTGAGGGCGCCATGAAATCCAAACCAAGGCCCATTTTGCCAATGGATTATAAAAAACGTCTATAATCGAAATGTGATAACATAGAAAACTGAATTTGTGTAAGATGCCCGTCCATCATCAAAAACAAAAACTAGAGACAAATTAAAATATTTCAACATAAAAATACCAGAAATATCTCAGGTAGTATTCTACTGTAGTCTTAAAATAAAATTTCTGAGCATTTTCAAAGCGTACGTAAATTATATGCTAGACAGTAAAAAAAAAAGAAGAAGTCTGGTACTTAATTTGTTACCTTGCGTTGAAAATCATGTTAATTTAATAATAATTAGAGACCGAGTATTCAAACCTAAACCAATGTACCTAATTTGAAAATTTAAAACCATTTAATAGCATTAAATTCTCCAATAAGTTAATAATTCTAATATATTTTCCACTTCATTTAGATTTCGAATGCTTTGAACTAGAGTACAAATAATTACTCGTATAATTACATCTTTCTCGAAGGGGAGTTCTTGAAATTTTAGAGAACACAAATCTAGACAGCCATTGATTTCCCCTGCAAAAGGGCAATTAAAGAACACCTTAATTAATCCACTTCACTAATTGCGGCATTAGGAGACGATTAAGTCTCTAAGT